AAAACCCGAGGTTGCTGGGGGAAACCGGTCAAGACTGCCGGGGATTTCGGAGGGAGGGGGTCTCGGTGGGAAGGTAAAACCCGCGTTTCTTGGGAAATTGTAGGGAGGTTGTGGCTCTCTGCGTGGTTTTGGGTTCACCGTGTCCCCCAGGTGGGATGCCGTGGGGAGAGAGAGAGCTGGCCTCTGGGGTGAGGGTGTCGTGAGCGTCTTCAGGCGTGGAGCGCCCGAAGCCGACATCAAACTCGGAATACAGCCACCGCCAGCTTTCCTCGGACGTGAAGGGGTTCGGGTCTTTCAGCCCTCTGAGTGGGGTTTTCAGGAAGGTGTTGAAGGCGGCTGTCCCCCCAGCGCTCTTCCTCGGGTGGGCTTTGGTGTGCCTTTGAGCCTGTGGGTTGATTCCTGCCAAGGCCGTTGTGGAGGAGGCATGACCGCTGTATGGCAGGGTGCTGGGGGGAGAAAAGCCTGCGTCCCCTTGGCAGTGAGTGCCTTGCGGCAGCATCGACCCAAAAGCAGGTGGATTTTGTTGCTGCTGGGCATTTCCTTTTGAGCCAGTGTCAAGGTTAGGCACGAAAGTCTCATTTCAGCAGCGTGACCTGTTACAGAGCTTGGCAGCTGGTTGGGCCTGGAGTGAAAGCTAGTGATGGGCTGTGTTTATTCATGAGAATACCTTGCAAGTGCCTTTCTTCCAGGATATAACGACCAGAATACGTTTTTATTCTTTGCTTTGTGGCCGCTTCTGGTGCGTGACCCTGGGCTTGTTTCCTTTCCTGACATCCCCCTTGGAGGGGGGACTCGAGATTCTCAATCTCCTACAAAATTGTGCTGTTTTAGATTAGATGTAGATTAGGAGCAATGCATTTTCAAAAAGAGACTGTAATTCTTGTGTACTGTGTGAGGCAAAAATCGCTTCATGGATCTAGGAGAATGAGCCTTGCTTAATGGGTTTTTGAAGTCCATTGTTGAGCTATGAAGGCAGGCTAGAACAAGGCTGGTCTCTTTGGGACAGCTGGTACTGCTACACTGGGAACCAAGGTATTCAAAGAGTGTTTTCAGCTGTCTGCTACTGTGGAGTCTCTAAATTTCTCATGCCCAGTTGACTCGGTTTACTGCAGGAGCTGGTTGAGTGACAGGAAAGATCCTAACAGTGGGATAAAATAATAATAAGCTCTACCTTACCCAATGTTTGCATAATCTGCGGAACATGAAGAAAGTAACAGATGGGAGCTATATAGATGCCTCTTAACAGTGTTGCAGCCTGCAGCTGCAGGCTTTCTGGGCCGAGTCAGGGAAGGACAAAGGCAGGAGAGCCAGAAGAATACGCTCTTTATATATACATGAGAGGTGGGGGGAAAGCATTTCGGGCCAATTTTGTGGCCTGAAATACGAGTATTTGTGCTACTTTTTTACTACATAGGATTGCATGCTCTCTAGGGTGCTCCGAGACTGCAGCAATTGTGAGGACATTCAGCATTTCTTGTCTAGTGAGGAAGGTATTCAGGTCAAAGTTACTGCAAACCAATGTTTCTGCTTACTTTCTTCTAGGCTTTTGGACAGATTTGCTTACTGCCATTCTTAATAAGGTAAGTGTGGGGAGTTTTCTCCCCCTCCAAGTTTCTTGTTTGTTTTGGGTTTTGTTTTGTTTTTTTAAAGGTGCTTGCATTGCACACCACTTACAGGTTATCTGCGAGGGAAGCTGCGTAACTTGATTGGAGAGTGAGCAAGGTTATGTCACAGATGTTGTTTACTAGATTATTTTTTTTAACTACTCTGGTTTGAGTGGGTCTCTATCAGAAGAAATTAACCTTTTTTCACACTCAGGCAGGTGCATAGAAACCGAATTTGCCAGCTTGCCTCTTTGCCTTTCTGTTCTTTTGCTAAAGAGCAGTCTTTCTTTCAAAGCTTGTGGATGTGCGAATCTGCTGTGTTTATTACCAGTAGTGGTAAAAGAACAGTAGTAGTGGAGAAATGAGGCCAGACATGTTCTTTTTAATGATATTACACTATTTTAGGTCAGTCTTTTCTCCTTCTTTCTCACATTTTTGTTTAGAAACTGTACTTTCAAGTGTACATTGCACTAAGAGCCACTCAGGTTAGGCGGTGTCGGGAACCTCAAGCTCACACTTGGCTCACATAGTTCGCCCGTCATTTGA